ATATATATGGAATTTATTGGAATGACTTACAGGCTGCAGTCCAGCTAATCCAACAATGGTGAACTGTGAGTGAAAGTACAAGAATCTAGTAGTTGCTCACTCCCACGAGACTGGGTGTCTCAGCTGGTCTTCTGTATGTGCTGGAATCCTGAAAAGGTAGGCTCCAATGCCAGTGAAGGAATGTGCTAGCAAGAGGAGTCAAGCAGACAAAGAGCAAAACCTTCCTTCTTCTGTGTCCTTATATGGACTTCAAGCAGTAGATGTGGCCCAGATTAAAGGTGTGTCTTCTCACCTCAAGATCTGGATTAAAGGCCCGTGTCTTCCTGCCTCAAGATCCTGAACAAAGGAGTTTCTTCCTACCCCAAAGGTCTGGACTAGAAGTAGATTCAACCACTTCAAACTATGCAGAAAGTCTTTTACAGATGTGCCCTCCATTTCCAGATTATAGTTCGTTCTAGACATAGTCAAGTTGACAACCAAGAATTGCAATCACAGTCTGAGATTCTGGCTCCTACAGTTTGCTTCATAGATGTATGAAGGGAAAGAGCGGAGGAGTGGATCTGGGAAAGAGGAGAGGTTGGGGACAAGAACTGGAGTAAGGGGAAAAGGGAAGCCATGTTCGGGGTGTAATGTATGAGAGAAGAATAAATAATAAATAAAATTTATTGAGTCAGAAAACAACAACGAAGAAGAAAAGTAGAGAGGAAAGACTTATTTTGACTCGTGATTTCAGAATAATCAATCTGAGTGTTTTTTGTCCCCATTTATTTGGTCAGGACATCATGTTGTCAGAGCATGTGGCAGAGGAGCACTCTCTTCTCATGGCTGGCAGGAAGTACAGTAAACAAGACAGGAAGGGACCAGGAACAAGACGCCCAAAATTGGGTCACTAGTTAGGTATCTAGGCTTAACTACCTGAACCTTTGGGAAGATTTTAATATTTATAGCTCATTCGTTTTACTGCTAAGTAGTCTTCCAAGGCATGGACAGACCTTAGTGGTGTGGGAGGATTGTCTGTATTCTGTCAATCATGTTTTAAATAAATGCTGATTGACCAGGCAGGAAGTATAGGTGGGTCAACCAGACAGTAAGTAGAGGTGGGGCGATGAGAACAGGAGAATTCTGGGAAGGAGGAAGCCCATTCCTCACCAGTTCTGCCCAGATCACCAAAGAAGCAGGATGTGACCTGCCCTGCTGAAAAAGGCACTGAGCCATGTGGCTAACATAGATAAAAATAATGGGTTGATATAAGTTAAGAGTTAATAAGAAGACTGAGCTAATGGGCCAATCAGTTTATAACCTAATGTAGACTCTCTGTGTGATTTTCTTTGGGACTTGCTGGTTGTGGGGTACCAGGCAGGACAGAAACCCCAACAAGCAGACCCTCATGTTACAACTTAGTTTAACTTCTCATTTGTGCATTCACCATTGGATTTTTTCCAATGCTTTACTATTACAAAGCTGCTGTAAACATCTGTGTATAGTCTTTTTTGAAAAATATGTTCACATATTTGTTAAATAAATACCCAGAAGTGTGATTGTTAGACCAAATAGTAGTGACATGTTTAGTTTAAGAAACAGCCCAAACTTTTCTAGAATGGTTGCAATATTTTATACGTTCCAAATGATGCATAAGGAATCACATTTCTCCACATCTTTGCCAGTATTTGGTGATATCATAATTTCATTTTAGCTACTCGGAGAGGTGTCACACGATATTGTTCTGTGACTTAATTTGACTTAATTTGTGTTTTTTTAATGGCTAGTAACCTTGATAGGTGTATCCCTTCATACACAGGGATGTATATGTGTACATGTACTTCATTTACATGTGTAAATAACACAGGTTATTTACCTGTGTCCTAATCAAATTAGTTGTGACTTTACTATCGACCTTTGAAAATTTTTTACACATTCTGACTATAAGACCTTTGACAGAAATATGGTTTACAAATTATATCTTCAGGCTCTGGCTCACCATTTCTTAATGGGGTCTTTGCAGAGTGAAAAATTATACATTTTTGATGAATTAGAATTTAGCAACAATTTTATGGCTCATGATTTCATTGTCCTATCAAAGGCCCCTTAACTTAGCCTTAATTCCTAGATATTTTCTTTTATAGTAAATTTTAAAATTTTCATAGTTTCATTTAAAATTTGAATGTGTGATTAACTTTGGGTTTATTTTTGTATGTGCACTTACAAACTATAACATATGACTTGTGCAGTTTTGCTGGTTTTTTCATATGAGTCAAAAGCTCTTATTTATATTTAGACTGATATTGAACACTATATATACATAGGTATGTGTAAAACTCATGCTACTAATTCACATTTTTAGTTATTATTAGAACCACCCTAAACAGCAAATAGAAAATACTAGGGCAGGATGAGGGAGGGTGGGTGAGACTGAGGGGCAGGGAAGATGTGGGAATGGATATGCACAGTAAGAACAGACGTTGACAGCACTTTCCCCTGATTTCTGATGAGAGCCCTCATTGTTTCATTTTATAGCACAAATTCTTTCTGACTCTGGCTATTGATACATTGGAGCATTATGATATTATTTTAGAAAAAATCTTATCTGTTCTTTGAAACTTTAAAAAATTATCTTATTCTTTTTTATGTGTATAATATATGTGTGTCTGTGTACCACTTACGTGCACTACCCAAAGAAGCCTGAAGATCACTTGGATCTGGAGTTACAGATAGTTGGAAGTTGCCATGTGAGTACTGGGAATTAAACCCAGATCCTCTAGAAGACCAGTTCTTAACTGTCTTGAGCCATCTCTCCAACTCCAATATTCTTTTAATTCGAACATAAAAATTTGTATGAAACTTTGCCTTATTATTTCATATCAAATTTCATTAATTTTAAAAGGTTTAAATTGATACATAATAATTGTACAAATTTATTGGATGCAGTGTCATGTTTTGACTCTTTGTGCACAAAAATGTGGAATGCTTGTATTTGTGTGTAATCCTTCCACAGGTGCCGTTTTAATCTCTTCTGTGTCGTTCCAGTTTTTGTCTATGTACTGCTGAAGTGAGCACAGAACCAAGTAATATTTCAGTCTGTTGAAGCATTAGTTAGTGGGTAGGCCAACTCTTACGCTCTATCTTTTCTTTTGTGTTTCTACTTGTACAACAAAAACCTTGCCCCAGATGGTCCTTTCTGAAGGTTCTTCAAATTGAGAAACTGATCATTTCACTTAAAGGCTTTTCTCAAACACAGCTTTGTGGTACGTGGGACTGTAAAGACCATGGCCCTTTGAGTATGGGACTTCTCTGAAAATAGGCCCCCTGATTTGTATTTTTTAAATTTCTCCACTATACTTTGTGCATCATAGATGGCGGTTAACTATTGTCTGGAAAAAGAGTGAATGAGTGAAGGGAATGCTGTTTGTTTTGTACCTCACAGCTGCTTCAGAATCAACAATTTTCCTTTTTCATTACCGGAACACTTTGTGCCAACCTTATGCACTAGAAAGTCTGACTGTCATAGAAAAGGGGGCACCAACACTGCCCTATGACAACAATTAGCCTCTTGGAACTGTCCTTCATTCCTGTTCAGAGAAGGATCTTGGCATTATTCTGCCTTGCCAAGGCCTGGAACTCCTATCTCCTGTCCTCATGAAGAGGTAGGTCTTTCATGCCTCTGCAGGATCCATGGTGTGTGTCCAGGTCTGAGACCCATAATAGAGGAATTGGGTAATGGACAGAATGTCTCATGTGGGTCAAAGCCTCAGTCCCACAAGAGACCTTTAAAATTTCTCATCTCTAATAGAGTCTTTTGTTTCCCACACCCGCTGGACGGGTGGAGTGAGGCGTGGAGTGGGGACATGGCTTTGTGAAATCCAATATTTTGAAGCAGAAAGCCATAAATACCAAGAGAAGAGTAGCCTAGCTGTTTGGAGGACCTGGGCTGCCCACCTCCTGAGTCTTGGCCATCAGACATGAGTGGCATTATAAACTACCCCAACTCCCTTCATAGCCCACTACCCAGGCTTACTCTCCACTTTCACAAGCTTTACTCATGATTTCTTAATGAATCAGGCAGAATTTTTCCAGCTGGGCTTAGTATTGGTTTCCCTGAATGACCCTTAAAAAGTTCCGATTTGAGTCCATGGATCTGTCTGAGCAGGAGGCGGGCCTCATACATCATCGAACACTCATCTTCTCAGAAGGTCGAGGCCTTGGCGTGGTTGGGTGTTGATGTCTTTATGGATGGAAAATGTTGGTTTTGCATTCTATTGGTAACCCCCACAGAGGTGATACTGGGATTTAGGGATCTAATCATTTGGAAAATGCTTGGGTGAAGCCAGCTCCAGTCTCATTTATATTTTGGAAAGGGAAGATAATGACTCATGCCACAGAGATGGCTGCCTGTCTACAATCTTGTCGGACAGCCTTGGGAATGACCGAGCTTGCAATGTCAGCTGCATAATGTGATGGAGAAGGCATCTCAATAAAGAGACAATACAAGTTCTGAAGCAGGAGTGGAAGGAACACTGACTTGGGAGCCAGCAGCTTAGGGTGCTGGTCCTGGCTTTATTCTACGCATGCTTGCTTAGTGTGTGGCATTGAGGAAATCCCTTTCTTTCAATGCCTCAGCTCTCTTATATATAAAGAAGAAGTGGTTCCTGGTCACCCATAAGGATCTTTCCTGCTCTTATCTGTTACTTCTGAGAGGCTGCTTTTCCATTTTTTTTGCAAGAGCACTAATTTTGGAGCTGAGCTCCCTGACTTAATGGGCTCCATGTTCTTGCCATAGCCCTTAATCAAATTACTTAAGCAGTTCCTTTCACTATCCTGACTTACAAAATGGGTTAGCCATGGCATTTTCCATATAAAATTATTATAAGGGTTAACGATTTCAATTTTATGAAGGACTTAGAATCCTGTCAATTACATAATGAGTACTAATAAATGGTAGATGCCATTATTAACAAGTGCTCTTTTGGGGCCGTGTTATCCTAAGGAGGCCAAGATAAACTAATTGGGCTTCCACCCTTCTCTTCCTTTAAGAGGAAAGAGACTACTTAGTGGTTGCCTTCTTAGGCTTCTGGATGAATAGGTCCTATTCCTCTGGGGAAAGTTTCTTTCTGCCTCCAAACTGTATAACACTCTGTGGCTGCTTCATCTGGAGCCTCGGACTTTAGGAAACAGTCCATTTTAGGATTTTTGTCTTGCGCCCCTAACCTGAAAGTTTATGCCACCTTCCTGTAGTTCTTTACCTTATGGATGACATTGTCTTTTTCCTGGTTAAGATGGCCAGTAGTGGTGAGTGAGAAGTGGGTGGGAGGAGATGATCTAATGGGTGTAGAAAAGAGGGTGGAGTGTCTCTAGTTTTCGTCTCAGTCCTTGTTTCCATGAAGAGTTTCTCTTCTATTCATGTGACCAAGCCATGCCCTTGACTTTGGTGGCATATCTATTCAACTCACACAAGTGGATAAATAAATTTTGGTTACTTAAATGGTAGCTTCTGGAAATCGACTTTGTAGTTTGAAGTTGGATCATAGTAATACAGAATTTTATATTCGGAAGAGGCCTTAGTGGCTATGCCACACTATCTGGAAGTGTGGTATATTGCACAATATAGTAAGGAAAATGAGGTCCAGAAAAGCAAAGATGCTTTCTCATGCAGCGTAGTTGGAGCCAGCAGTTAGGTTATTTTGTATCAAAATGTACCTTTTCCCTGTATAAGTTTGCCCTCAAGGCAGTTTTGGAGGCACAGTTCCTTAACCAAAAGGAAATGAGTCAGATAAGTGGAGATGTCCTTGGATAGACTGGCCTTTTGGTGCCTCTTAAAATCTCTTGAAGGCAACTGACTTCTTTGCCTTCAAACAGGGTCAGGCTTGCTGATGCTCAAAGCAATCTAGGGAGCCAGAATTTTGAAGTTCTGTGTCCCCAACTGTACTACCATTGCTGGGGTGGGGCCAGGAGAGAGGTCTTGCAGCTGGATTTCCTATGTGTCTCCAGGGCCTGGGAGGAACTTGTCACTCTGGAGCAGTATACAAGGCTCACAGCATCTGCTTTGAGGTGCTTGGTCATACCATCCAAAGACAACGAAAAGATATGAATAGAATTGGTGGATGAGTGAATCAGAGGTCACCGTCTGGTTTACTCGGCAGCCAGTCATGGGAGCGGCAAAGCAATGAGAACAAAGCACAGTGTGAGCCCCTGGCCAACAAAATAACCCAATAAATAGAGGTTGCACACCCCAGAGAGCACAGTGGAGTCTCTGGCAGCATGGGGCAGTAGCCTTTCGGAACAAACAAGATCTTAATTTATGTCTGAGCAGACCAAGACTAGAAACCTGCTGCACATTCCTCCTAGAGAGTGTCTGTGAAAATCAGCCAAGTGAATTTCCTTCATTTAGAAGCAGAGCAGAAAAGCCACACACATGGCCTTCCAAACGCAGTTCATGGGCCACTGTGCTGGCAGTAGCAGGCATGAGTCTCAAGGAAGAGGTATGTGGTGCCAACCTGCCGTGCCAAGCCGAGGGTAGGGGCGGTCTTGTCTGGACCAACAACAGCTCTAGAAGGGCTGGTTGGATCTTTGCACATGCGTGCTGATAACTGATGGGCTGCAGAAGAACTGAAGTCCACGTTTCCTGTCTAGACTAATATTCCCTTTCAGACACACAAAGCCATTATTTCCCTCCAGTCTTTAAAAGCTTATCACTCAGAGAAATCCCGTCTAGAAAAATAAAACAAAACAAAAAGCTTATCTCTTTTCTTAGATAGGGGATATTATCCAAAGGAAGGAGGAGACGAATCAGGAAAAATTTCTAATCTTAAAATAATTTTTTATTAAAAATAGATTTTCTTCCTCCACACAATGTATTCTGATCACGATTTTCTCTTCTGCAACTCCTCCTAGATTCTCCCCACCTCCCTTCCCATCCAAATCCCTATCCTTTCTCTCTCTCTCTCTCTCTCTCTCTCTCTCTCTCTCTCTCTCTCTCATTAGAACACAAAAATACATCTAAAAATCAATAAAATAAAATATAAACTGGAATAGGACAAAATAAACAAACAGAAGAACACCAGCCAAAGAAAAAGTAGGAGAAATAGCTGTGAGTCACATTTTCTTGAGACTTCTGCTCTCCACGCTCCATACTGTCTGTGCTGTGGTAACCCCCCCTCCATATCTCACCCTTACCCCTAAGCTAAAGATTGATGTATGATGCCATATGACACTTGGAGGTCATGCCCAACATGCCCCCATTTGAATGGACCATACTACAACTTAACACAACCCTATCTCAGAGTCTCCGGCTTTTCTTGGTGGCACCATTATCTAAGAGTAACCTAAACTAGAAACTAAACTCATTCTAGAAATAATTTCCCATTATCTACAAATTTAGCAAGTTCTATTGATTTTTTCTTAAAAATATTTCAAATCACTCACTTTGTTCTATTTTTACTGTCTCGGTTCAAGGCCTTATCACTTCAAATTGGAGCTACTGTAAAGCTCTACCTGATATCTGTAACCTGGGTCTCCTCCACTTCAGCTCCCACACTGCCAAAATGATCTCAGAATGTCAATCTAATCATGGAACTCTGGGTGTTTAGAACTCTTTCTTTTTTGCATGTGTATATGTGTGTATGTGTATGCACACAACAGAAAAAGAGAGGTGGACAGACCAGATCTACACACACACACACACACACACACACACACACACACACACACAGAGAGAGAGAGAGAGAGGGAGGGAGGGAGGGAGGGAGGGAGAGAGAGAGAGAGAGATAGAGCACTTGAGATTGATTGCTCTCTACTTCAAATATTGAGGCAAGTTCTCTTACATGTTTCATGACCCAAGGGGTCTGTCTTGATCCTGTCCTCACTTATAGAACAGCCCTTTTCTTTTGTCATGCCTGCCTTGCCTGTTATGTGCCAACAACATTAGTTGACCCAACTCCCCCCAAGATGCTATTTCATTTAAAGAATATTCCTGTTTGGTTTTCAGTTTTCCCTACTCATTATTTTACCTGGGTAATATTTTGTTACTCTATCCCAGCAATTTTTCCAGGTTGAGTGAGGCA